CTGAATTAGAGTGTTTGAAGAGATGAAGATGAATGGATAGATTTGAGAGATCTTCACCAATGGGGCTTCAGACTTGCAGAAGCAAGCAAAATAGAGGAACCAACGAGGAGCTGAGTAAGCAAATGGGTATCTTTTACTAACAACACATTTGATGGGGAGAGGGCTCCAAAGCAAAATTTCTATTTTGACTATTTTACTTTGAGATGCCAAAACACAAGATGAGTTACCCTGGAAGCAAATTTTCATATACTTCAATCTCCCTTAGGATTTAAATTAAAAAAAAAAAACTTAAAATGTTTAGAATATAGACTAAAAGTCTAACAACATAGTGTTAAACTTTGTGAATGTGAAGCATTCTCAAGTAAATGTTAACTCATTTGGAGTTCAAAACATTTCATTTATGGAAAAAGTAATACAGATACTAATTCAAGAGTACACAAAAACGTTATGAAGTAATAATACAAATCCTCTATTCCCCACTTCTTGGTTTGTTGTTTTGTTTCTGTTTTAAGTTTAGGCAGTAGGTTTAGGGAATAAGACAGATTTCCCAAATATTCAAATATACTATTTTGGAGCTGAAATTCAAATTCTTTAGTTTAAACCAAGGCATGCAACAACTCCAAAACTAAAAATGAAAGTACTAAATTTAGCCAAACCTACAGAATTAGAGTAACTATATCTGCAGTAATTGGCAGAATTACCATAAAAAAAGAGCAGTTTTCCCCTGCCTTCTGAGCTCCTGGTAAGATTTCACTTCTTCTTCCTCTTTCGGCTGGAGACCAGCAATATTCAGTACAGGAACTGCTCTACAACCTGGATCCTTAATCAATCAATGAAGCAGGAAGCCCATAAACCTTAATGGACACGTACCATAAGCAAAAACATAAAGAACCCTTTGTTTCACTGAGATTTTGGAGTTGTTAGGCAATAGCATTACTCCACTTGTTCTGTTTGATACAACATTCTATGACTTACAACCTAGGAAACATAAGTACTCCAAGGAGTTGCAGTTCAGAACTGTGTCAGCAAAGTGAAGAATATGTTCATATCATCCTTTTTGGAGGAGCAAAGTGGACCAGGGAGCCAAATAGAAACAGAGCCAAAAGGTAAGATTAAATATTTTGTTCCAATGATTAATGTCCAATATTTTCAATTCAAATATCAAATCGTGCATATATATTTATTACACACTAGACAATCTGAAATACAGTTATAAGATAGGTAAAACCCTTCCTCATGGTGTTTATAAATTAAGTTTTCTTTCACTTTCCTGAGGTTTTCAAATTGTAGTACTTAAAGTCAAGAAAAATTTAAGAATAATTTTAATTTGGCAATCTTCAATTACCTTCAGTTGTAACTAAATTATGTCCCTTTTTAAATATTCACCACTAGTCAAATATTTTTAGCCTACCAAGTTTCCTTACGGTTTGACTTCAGCCATTTATTCCTTTTCCCCTTATATTTCATGACAATTTTTTCTTCTATTGCCTAGTGACAATTCTCTTTCTTCCCTGGCTCCATTTTTCTCTTTGGAAATTAAATGCTTAAAGAACTTAGTCCTAAGCCCTAAGTGATCTCATCTTACAACTTATTTGCAAACAATGACTGAAAATTAAACCAGCTCAAATCTCTACTTTGCATCCTACACCTAAATATCCAACTGCCTATTTGGTATCTCCACTGCAGTATCTCAAAATCACCTCTAAACTTATATCCAAGTTTATGATCTTCTCTTGCAAATCAATGTTACAAAATTCAGTGAATTATCACTGAGTCCCCTTAACTCAGGGAATAGTCCTTACTATGTATCTCAATCCAGAAACCTAGCACTTATCCTTGACCACCCTTCTGCCTGAGTCTACAAATCCAGTTCATCACTATGACTTTTTTGAAAGCAGAGTACCGAGCAAGAGAAGGAGAGACAGAGAGAGGTATCTTCCATATGCTGATTCACTCCCCAAATGGCCAAATGACTGGGGCTGGGCCATGCCAAAGCCAGGAGCCCAGAGATTCTTCCAGGTCTCCCATGTGGGTGAAGGGGCCCAAGTTCTTAGGCCATATTCCACTGCTTTCCTGGGCACATTAGCAGGAAGCTGGATGGGAAGTTGAGCAGCTGGGACTTGAATTGGCACCCAGGTAGGATGCTGGTGCTGCAAGCTGTGGCTTAATCCACTGCACCACAGACCTGGCCCTGATGTCCTTTCTTTTATATCCCCATATACTGCAAACAACCTTTACATCCACCTTCTTTCTTATATTCCTACTACTACATAGTCCAAATTCATCCTTTCTCAAGTGGATCACTAAAACCTCACTAAAGACCTCAAGCTGATCTCTTTCATCTACTCTTCTTCCCACATCCTCAAGCACCCCTACCATCATAGCAAATGTGATCTTTGAAAATTTAAATCTTTTTTTTTTAAGATTTATTTTATTCATTTGAAAGAGTTACAGAGAGATATAGACAGAGAGGTCTTCCATCCGCTGGTTTACTCCACAGATGGCTGCAATGGCCAGAGCTGGGCTGATCTGAAGCCAGGAGCCAGGAGCCTCCTCCAGGCCTCCCATGTGGGTGCAGGGGCCCAAGGACCTGGGCCATCCATTACTGCCCTCCCAGCAGAGAGCTGGATTGGAAGAGGAGCAGCCGGGACTAGAATCGATGGCCATATGGGATTCCGGTGCTGCAAGCCAGGGCTTAAACCCACTGCGTCACAGTTCCGGCCCCACAAAATTTAAATCTTATGAAGTCATCTTTAATCAGCCCTCTTCAAAACCCTTCAATGTCTTCTTACTGTTCTTAGGATTAAAAACAAAACAAAACAGTCAACATTATCTGGCCTCAATTTACAACCCTTGTTTCAATCTTACTCTACACTATCCCTCTATACTTCAACATTAAACTACATGCATTTTCTACTGGTGTCAGATCAAGTATATTTAAGACTTCCCTCAACTCCCTAATTAGGTCAAATGCCCCTTTTATAGATTCTCAATATCCTCTATATCTTAAAGTTGCAATTATACACTTATTTGCACAATTGGTTATTTGACCAGTGTGTGTCTTTTACTAAAGTGAAGCTTCACAAGTCAGTTACTGTTCTATTGGGTGAGCTATCCTGTCTCATTCCTCTGAAATACACTAATGTTTTATTTTTAAGTCATATTCAATCAGCTTTTTAATAGTTAAGAGTTTTATAAAGCTGATAGTATTTTTGAAAGGTAGCTAAAGCAGACAGCTAGAAAACAAAAAGCACCCAGATGTACATTAAAATTTTCCCTTCCTGGGGCCAGTATTGTGGTGTAGCCAGTAACACTACTGCCTGCAACACCAGCATCCCACTATGGGCACCAGTTCATATCCTGGATGTTCCACTTCTGATCCAGCTCCCTGCTAATGGCCTGGGAAAAGCAGCATGAGATGGCCCAAGTACTTGAACCACTGCCAACCATGTGGGAGACTCCGAAGAAGCTCCTGGCTGCTGCCTGGGGCGTGAAGCCACTGAAGAAATATATCTTCTCTCTCTGACTTTCGAACTAAATAAATAAATCTTTTTTTAAAAATTCTCCTTCCTGTATCCTTAAGCAATATTTCTTAATATTTTTAGAGTTACAGAGCCTTTTGAATATGCTGGAAGGCTAGCATCCTCTCCTCTCCTTAAAACACACAGATACACACACACACACACACACACACAGAATAATTTTGTATGTAATATCTGGAATTTTACAGAATGTCATACCCAATTAATTTATTATAAATATTTATTTCAGGGGCTGGCACTGTGGCACAGCAGGTAAAACTGGCACTTGTGGCACTGGCATCCCACAGAGGTGCTGGTTCAGGTCTCATCTGCTCCTCTTCCAATCCAGCTCTCTGCTACGGCAAGGGAAAGCAGTAGAAGACGGCCCAAGTTCTTGGGCCCTGTACCCACATGGGAGATCTGAAAGAAGCTCCTGGCTCCTGACTTCAAATTGGCCCAACTCCAGCTGTTGCAGCCATTTGGGTAGTGAACCAGTGGAAGGAAGACCTTTCTCGGTCTCTCCCTCTTTCTATAACTCTACCTCTCAAATAAATAAATATTTAATTTTTTTTTTTTTTGACAGGCAGAGTGGACAGTGAGAGAGAGAGAGAGAAAGGTCTTCCTTTGCCGTTGGTTCACCCTCCAATGGCCGCCGTGGCCGGCGCGCTGCGGCCGGCGCACCGCGCTGATCCGATGGCAGGAGCCAGGATCCAGGTGCTTTTCCTGGTCTCCCATGGGGTGCAGGGCCCAAGCACCTGGGCCATCCTCCACTGCACTCCCTGGCCACAGCAGAGAGCTGGCCTGGAAGAGGGGCAACCGGGACAGAATCCGGCGCTCCAACCGGGACTAGAACCTGGTGTGCCGGCGCCGCTAGGCGGAGGATTAGCCTAGTGAGCCGCGGCGCCGGCCAATATTTAAATTTTTAAAAAATTTATTTGAAAAGCAAAGAGAGACAGACAAAGATATTCCACTACCCAAATGTCTACAACAGCTGGATCAGGCCAAAGCCAAGAGCCAGGGACTCAATCCAGGTCTCCCAAATGGGTGGTAAGGACCCAAGTACTTCAGCTGCCATCTGCTGCGTCCAGGGTACGCATTAGCTAGAAGTTGGAATTAGAAGCAGAGTTAGGACTAGAACCTACACACTCTGACGTGTGCTGCTGGCATCGTAATCAACAGTTTAACCACTGTGCCGAATGCTCACCCCCACCCCCAATTTTTTTAAAACAGAAAAATTATAAAGGTTTAAACATTTATCTGCCTGAACTACATTTTTCATGACCTTTTTTAGCAATATTACTTTGGTCTATGAAGAAAAATGTCTAGCAGCTTTCAAAATGGAATATATGAACCAGAAGTTACTGTATTCAGATGACAGAATTTGTATTATTTAAACTGTTAGACTTCTAATGGTTAATAACGTCCATAACACAACTATGACAGGCAATAGAATCACATTAAGGGACAAAATAGACGCACCTCCTGTTCTTCCATTACCAATCTGCACAGCAGGTTGAAGACTTCCTTCATTTTTCAATAAATGAGGCAGATGATAATAAATACTTGGCACTTGAAGAGATTTTTTGCTTGTTAACTCCTTTAATAGTTTTAAGGTATTATCTGAAACATAGAAGTACAATCAATCACAGGAATACCTTATCCTACTGAAGCTGATTTTATAAAATAAGAGTTAAAAAACTATAAGAACTAAAGAATTTTCTTTCCTAATTCTTACTGTGGCAAAGAAGATTCCCCATTTAAAATGAAAAGGACATGTTTGCAACCCAAGTCTCACAGAGGCATGATGCTAAATAAGGTGAAGAAAGCCTAAATAGACATTGATGAAATATAATAGTACACTGACCACCAATAACTTTCACTTTGTTCATACATCTATATTTTATACAAATTTTGCAAAGATGTATTTTTTATAAAAACTTCAAGTGAAATAATTTGAACAGCACAGTACAGATCCTAACTTTCAAATAGTTTCAAATAGGAACCAATGAATAATTTAATGTATGAAACACTTGGTAGTATAAAAATGTTGTTTAAAGTTCTTATCAAATTAGAATATAACTTTTGTGGTTTTTTTTGTTTTTTGCTTTTGTTTTTGTTTTGTTTTGTTTTTTTTTTGACAGGCAGAGTGGACAGAGAGAGAGACAAAGGTCTTCCTTTTGCCATTGGTTCACCCTCCAATGGCAGCCACGGCTGGCGCGCTACAGCTGGCGCACTGCGCTGATCCGATGGCAGGAGCCAGGTACTTCTCCTGGTCTCCCATGGGGTGCAGGGCCCAAGCACCTGGGCCATCCTCCACTGCACTCCCTGGCCACAGCAGAGAGCTGGCCTGGAAGAGGGGCAACCGGGACAGAATCCGGCACCCCGACTGGGACTAGAACCCGGTGTGCCGGTGCCGCAAGGCGGAGGATTAGCCTAGTGAGCCGCGGCACTGACCTAGAATACAACTTTTAAATAAGGAAGATGACAGCAAAGACTTGCAGCTTCAATCCCATTAAAAAAATACAAGAACCAAATTCACAAAAGAAATACAAATTACTGTCAGACATTAATGTTTAATTTCTTAAGAAATTATTATAAAGTACAGCATGCCAATCTCAACCTACCAAAACCAAAATAGGTAACTATTTTTCTTTTTTTTTTTTTTTTTTAAGATTGTATTTATTTGTTTGAAAGGCAGAGTTACAGAGAGACAGAGGCAGAGAGAAAGAGAGGTCTTTCATCTGCTGGTTCATTCCCCAGATGGCCACAATGGCCAGAGCTGCGCCAATCTGAAGCCAGGAGCCAGGAGCTTCTTCTGGGTCTCCCACACAGATGCAGGGGCCCAAGGACTTGGGCCATATTCTACTGCTTTCCCAGGCCATAGCAGAAAGTTGCATCGGAAGTAGAGCAGCCAGGATGTGAACTGGCGCCCGCAGACTGGGGCTTTAACCTGCTGAGCCACAGCACCAACCAACTCTGCCTTTCAAACAAATAAATAAATTTTTAAAACAAAAACAAAGAAAACCACTATCTTGAAGAATATTTACTCACACAGCAAAAATTTTATCAGGAAAGGAAGTAAGAAACATAAAACTTTGAAAACAAGGTAAGGCAGCAGATCTCAAGATAAGAATTTATATTTTTTAGAATAGATGAAAAAAATCAACATAGAATGGTCATGCAAATTTGGAAGTAAATTATTAAATACATATTAATTTAATTATCAGAATAAGTAGCATACAGAAATAGAAAATAACTGGCATTCATCTTAACTCTGACCAGAAGTTCTCAGTGAAAGAAGAGTTCAGCTGCTCCCAAAGGTATCTATCATATACCCATGTGTCTTTTTTTATTATAAATCATACTCAAGAGTACTAGTTGCATGAAATAATTCAAAGACTTTTCCAGAGTACAGCTGAAGTCCATATATGAATCACAAAATAAACTTTAACCTCATTATAAATGTTTTCAAAAGATGCCAGTTCCTCATTATTGTCCATGAAATTTATAGAGCTGAAACTTAATTCACTATTTTTCTCTTAAAATCAAATTTAGCAATAAAAATTATTTTATAATGTACCAGAATAGAATGGTTTATATGATTTTTCTTTCTAAATGGGATAACATGATGGTTGATAAACTACTTTTCAGAACTTTCAAATAGATTTACTCTAGTCATTTAAAAATGCTTTTACATTACAAAAAATATTGTACCTGAAAACTTATTTAGTGTATCCTTACTTCCATTTGTTTCTGCTCCTACATTCCTAAACTGTTGTACAATGCTATTTAATTCAGAAGATCTCTGTGAGATTCTATGTTCAGCAATTCGAAGACGTTCTTTTAAAGCAAGAAATTCTCGTTGGTAAGCAATCAATTTTTCTGGAAGCAAAACCGAAAATGTTGTTAGAATATTTCAAAAAACAAACAAAAAGACAACAAAAAATACAATAATCCAAATAGGACTATAAGATGAGGAATTGTTGAACTTTTCAGAAGAAAATACTTATTGATGCAGAACTGAAAACAAAAAAGAGCTCTGACATTATTTATAATGAAGCACTTAAATTGAGATCCCTAATCTGAAAATAATTCAAAATCTGAAATGGTCCATAATCTAAAAATTTTTGACTGCCAATAGTTGCTCCAAGTGGAAAATTCCACACTTAATCTCTCATGACAGATTTCAATCAAAACATAGGTGCACTAAAAATACCATATAAAATTATGTTCATATATGTACAAAATTATATAGAAGGTACATATGAAATATAATTGAATTTTGTGTTTAGAAGTGGGTCCCACCCCCACGGTATTTCAGTATGCCAATATACACAAAATCCCCTCTAAAAAATTGAAATCCAAAACAGTTCAGGACTGAAACATTTCAGATAAGAGACAGTCAACATATAATAACTTTGTGCTCTTAATTTTTTTTTAAAGATTTTACTTATTTATTTGAGAGATAAGAGTTATAGACAGTGAGAGGGAGAGGCAGAGAGAAAGGTCTTCCTTCCGTTGGTTCACTCCCCAGATAGCCACAACAGCCGGAGCTGCGCCGATCCAAAGCCAGGAGCCAGGAGCTTCTTCCGGGTCTCCCATGCAAGCGCAGGGGCCCAAGCACTTGGGCCATCTTCCACTGCTTTCCCAGGCCACAGCAGAGAGCTGGATTGGAAGAGAAGCAGCTGGGACTAGAATTGGCGCCCATGAGATGCCAGCGCTGCAGGCAGAGGATTAACCTACTGTGCCACAGCAACAGCCCCATGCTCTTAATTTTTTTCTTAGAGATTTATTCACGTATTTGAAAAGCAGAGTTTACAGAGAGAAACAGAGAGATGGAGAGAGAGAGTGCAAGAGATCCTCCATCTGATGGTTCACTCCCCAAATGGCCGCAACAGCTGGAGCTGGGTGAATCCGAAGCCAGGAGCTTCTTCCGGGTCTCCCACACGGGTGGCAGGGACCCAAGAACTTGGGTCATCTCCCATTGCTTTCCCAGGCACATTAGCAGGGAGCTGGATTGGCAGTAGAGCAGCTGGGGTCACAGGCAGCAACTTTATCCACTGCACCACAACAAAGACCCCTAGTGCTCTTATTATTTGTAAAAATGTGCATACTCTCTACTTATAACTTCAAAAATTTAAAGATGAAGAGGGAAGGATAAAAGTTTTTACAACTGACACTTCAACATACTACTAACATTTCTCAAAAGGTACAAACAACTATAAAGATTGTATTTGTTTTCAAGAAGACAGTAAGACAAGGTACAAACAGATGGCTATATGTAATCACATAATGAATATAACATGTTTTATAGCATAATCATTAATTTCTAAATAATTCACTAAATATTTCCTCTGTTTTTCCTCTTCCATAAAGATTTCTCTAGGCCAGACTTGGGTCAAATTCCTCATCCCTAAAAACACAATGAACTAGATGTACAATGACCCTAAATAAAAGTCATTCATTTAAGAAATGTGAGAAAATCACAAGAAAAGATAGTCCAGGAAACAAAAGTGTATTTTATAAAGATACATGTGTGACTATAACTCAGACAGCTCAGAGACAAAGTACACAGTGAGAAGAGGCCTAAGGATAGAACTGGACACAAATACCTAAGATTGTGGGAGGATAGAAATCATCCATGTACTTAATCCACAGTACTGAACAGTAACCGAGACTGTGTGGTAAGGCAGTTTCCACAACCTCATTAAAAATAACCAGAACAATGGTTTACAAATTATATATCAAACTTGATAAACTAAAAGGCACTTTTCTGACACATAAACTATAAAAACCTTAGAAAGGCTATTTTTATTTGAACATCATAATCTGCTTTATTCAAGGACAGATGCAGTAAGAAACAGCTTATGTAAAAGCTATCTGCTTATTTGTTAGAGTTGGTCTCAAAAACATGATCAATTAGACTATCCCTTGTCCCTAAAACATAGGCCTATACACAATAAATAATACCTGTTAAGGCTTCTGTGGTGGGGAAAAATGTCTCTCTTGCTTAACTGCCACAGTTCCCAACACTGAATAATTTGCTGGCTTTAGGAAAGAAGAAAGGAGAAGAGTTGTGCTTGGGAAAGAACAGACAGAGAGCTTCAGGCTGACAGCTGGGCTCAATTGACTGACCTGAGTAGTGGTTTTATGGTTTAGGCACTTTTTTGTACACATAAATTCAATGAAAAAAATGTTAAAAAGATACTATTCACAAATACAAAACTATAAACAATTACATTATAATAACACAATAGACAAAAGATTCTGTGAAGAAAACTATAAGCCTTTTACTGAAGCCTATAAAAGAATAAGTGAAATTATTACTCCTAAATGGGAAGACTCAATCTTGTAAAAAAATGACTTCTATCCTAAGCTAAATAATAAACTCAATTTGGTACATTTCAAAATAACAATGTATTTTAGCAGCACTTATTGTATCACTCTAAAATTCACCTAGAAGAAGAATGTTTTTTAAAAGCCAAATAAAATATAGAAAAGAATATGGAAAACTTGTTCTGTGATTAGAACATGATAAGGTGATAGAAATTTAGAGTACAGACTCTCATTTCCAGATAGTGTAGGCAAGGCAAATCAGTTCAAGCACACTGTGCTCAGAAAATAGCATGGGGCAGGCATGCAGTAGAGCAGTTAAGTCACAGCCTGGTATATTCATATACCATATGGGAGTACCTGCTACAAGTCTGAGATACTCCGTTTTAATCCAGCTTCCTACTGATGTTCAACCTGGTAGGCAGCAGGTGATAGCCCAAGTGCCTGAGTCCCTATGAGCCAAGTAGAAGTCTGAGTTCTGTACTACTGGCTTCAACTAGGCCCAGACATAGCTGAGAAAGGCATTTGGGGAGTAAACCAGCAGATGGAAGAGCTCTTTCAAATAAAATTAAAAAATAAATTTAAAAAATAGTATGAGTGAACTATACTTTGAGTTGTTTCCTCTTTATGTGTGCAACATCAGAATCTTATCCTCAAATTTTAAGCAGTGCCTACATATTGGTTTTTAAATACCATATGCCGCTGGAAAACAAACTGGAACTCTGGAAATACAGAATTTTCAAAAAGATTTGTGTATGTATGTATTTGAAAGAGCAACAGAGAAGAGAGGAGGGAGGGAGGGAGAGAGAGAGAGAGAGAGAAAAGGAGAGAGAGAGATAAATATGAATCTTCCATCTGCTTGTTCATTACACAAATGGCCAAAACAACTAGTTCTGGGCCAGACCAAAGCCAGGAGCCAACAATTCCATCTTGGTCTCCCATGGGATGAAAGGGGCTCAAGAACTTGGGCCATCTTCTATGTTTTCAGATGCACAGCAGGAAACTGGAATGGAAACAGAGTACCCAGGACTTGAACCAGCACTCTTGATATGGAATGCTGGCCTCACAAGCAGTGGCTTAACCTACTGTGCCACAACCCTAGCCCCTGGAAACATACCTTTAAGATGAACCTAAAACATTCAGTGTCTTCAAGTAAGAAAATATTATAGGAAAAACCAACAGAACATGTCAACAGGGCACAAGAGGCTATCAAGGGGCTGTCACTGGCCAAAGGGGGACAATTTAAGTAACAAAACAAATACAGATAAGTATAACTTATTGAATAAACTAAGAATTTGTGAGTCTACATAAATACTAAAGATAAAAATCAACAAAGGGCCGGCGCCGCGGCTCACTAGGCTAATCCTCCGCCTTGTGGCGCCGGCACACCGGGTTCTAGTCCCGGTTGGGGCACCGGAATCTGTCCCGGTTGCCCCTCTTCCAGGGCTCTCTGCTGTGGCCCGGGAGTGCAGTGGAGGATGGCCCAAGTGCTTGGGCCCTGTACCCCATGGGAGACCAGGAGAAGCACCTGGCTCCTGGCTTCGGATCAGCACGATGAGCCGGCCGCAGTGCCAAGAAAAACATTAATTTTTACAGTGGAGAAGCTAAGAGAATTGTGTTAGTCAAGTAATCGAAGTTCAAGTCAGCAATCATGTGACAGAGATCATGTCCCACCTGAAGTTAAGCACAGAGGACACAACCTCACTTTGAGGTATTCCTGCCAAAAATGCATAATCTAAATCTAATCTCAAGGAAACAGCAGACATATCCAAATTGGGAGGCTATGTATAAAACACACGGCTTGCACTTCAAACAATGTCAAGGTCATCAAAGACAAAGGCTTAGGAAATATCCCAGAGTAAAGAGACTAATGAAAACTAGACAATGAAATGGAAGACACAGTTGAAAATTGGATCTTAGATCAGAAAACAAAAAAAGTTATCAACATTTCTGGAAAAAATTAAGAAAATATAAACTAGATAACTGATAATACTATGCCAAAATCAAATTTTCAGAATTTGACACTTGTACTGCAGTAATACAAGAGATGGTCCTTGTTTTTTTAGGAAATAAACACTAAATTATTTAGGGGTAAAGGTACGTGGATCTCTGCAATGTACTCTCACATGGTTCTGGAAAGAAGCAAATATTTACACTTAGATTATAAGGCAAGATGTTCACAATAGGTGAAATATCTTTGCATCTATACTTGCAACTCTTCATTTCTTTACGTTAGTACTTCTTAATATAAAGGTTTTTAAAAGGAAGCAGAAGAATTAGAAGGTAGATACAGGTTTAGACTTTCAGCAGCTCTTTAGCAGTACAGAGGGATATGGATCTGAAAACAGCCTCTCTCTCTCTCTCTCCATATGCATTTTCTTGGTATTTTAAGTTACCTCCCAGAGACCAATTTCACCAAGTAAGGATAACCACTCCCAGTAGAGAAGTATCTCCGCCCCTAATTCCAAACTGTTTCCCCGCTTTGAACTGGCCAAGCTTTTGGAAAATTAATTAGAAAAGATCCACTGGGCCCATGGACTACTGAATAA